CCCGGGGGGGGGGGGGGCCAGGGCAGCCCCACAGGGGTGTCTGGGCTCAGCTGGGTGCTAGAGAGCAGGGTGGGGGCAGCCGTCAGCCAGAGCCTCGCTGTCCCCCCTGCAGGCTACCGCCACATCCATCTCCTTTCCAAGGATGGTACCAGCATCCCACCCTCTTCGCTCTTCGTCCACATCCACATCACCGAGCCGCCCGGCCCGGAGCAGGACTGAGCCCACGGGGCGAGCAGGACCTGGATGGAAGCCATAGAGATGGCCCCGAGCAGCTGGGGCCGCAGAGCCAACCGCATCGCCCTCTTGTTGAGCTGTTTGCGTCATCCCTGTGTCGTCGTCACTGCTGTGCCCCCATTTGCAGCAGCCTCCAGGGGCTGGGAAAAGGCACTGACCTCCCCTTCCCAGGTTTGGGACGCTGCCTCCCATGCATGAGTGTGGGGTCTGCACTGGTGCAGCCCCCTGCCGCCCCCACATGCAGCCCTCCCTGGCCCGCGGGCAGAGAGATGGTACACAGCACCCCGGCTCTGCCGCATGGGCTGGTCCCCCCCCGCCAGGGGAGCAAGGCTGGAGCCGAGCAAACCCCAGGGCTGAGCAGAGCTGGGAGAGGAGTCGGTCCTCACTGCCCCCAACCCTGCAGAGCCCCATCACAGCCCCTGGATCCTACAGCCCCCAGGGGTGCTCCTGGCCGGTGCCCGTTACTAACCCTTGCCGTGTCCTTTCTCTGTAAGCAACTTAATAAATTGTTCGGTGACAGGCAGGCTCGGGTCTGGGTGCAGTGGCGCTGGGGACAGAGACGAGGAGCTGGGCTTCTGCTCGCACTCTCTCCCTGCAGGCACCTGCCCCACGGCTCGCACAGAGCTCCAAACGGCCCAGAGAAAAAGGATTAAAAGGAGCTGAGAGATTCCTTTTATACAGCCGCATATTTTACATCCCATATACATATATGCCTATACACACACACATACATCTCTGCAGCAGGCCTGTGCCACCGGGGCCTTAAAGCAGTCAGGATTTGGCCTCACTGCGAAGCACTGTTCTTCTCCGCAGGGCACCCTCCTTCCTGCTCCGTCCCGGGGGGCCCCTCAGCCCGCCTCTCCTTCTGCACAGCATGGAGGTGGACAGTGGGCGTGCTGGGGTCCTTGCCCACCCCCTGGCTGGGGTCGCCGGCCCCGCGCTCGGGGTGATGCCGCTGGATGTGTTTGATGACCTGGAACTTCTGCTTGGCCTTGTAGGGGCAGTAGCGGCAGAAGAAGGGGTGCTCGTTGGTGTGGGTCAGGTAATGGTGGCGCAGGCCGGCAGCCCAGCGGAAAGCCCGCCCGCAGGCATTGCAGACGTAGGGCTTCTCCTCGCTGTGCTTCTTCAGGTGGGTCTTGAGGAGGAAGCGGGTCTTGAAGGCCTTGCCGCACTGCTCGCAGATGAAGGAGCGGGCTTCCCGGTGCCGCGTCTCCTTGTGCACTCGCAGGGCGTCCGCCCGGTTGGTGCGGTACTCGCACTCGTCGCAGCGGTATGGCTTCAGGCCTACAGCGATGGGGAAGGGGCTGGGATGGGGGTACGGTGCCCCCTCCTGTGGGTCTCCCCATCCCCGTAATGGCATCGGTCCCCAGGGACCCCCATACACACCATCCTCGGCGCTGGGAAGGTGCAGCCTACCAGCAGGCACCTCAAAACCCCAAATTTCCAAGGCACCATGCCTTGGCCCCTGGGGTCCATACCGCCCCGCCTTCCCTCCCACCTTGGGGCACTGTCCCCAACCCACCAGCACACAAGAATGTGCTGCCCCCCAACTGCTAGGGGTCCTCCCCCGCCTCCAGCTGGGCCACTGGTAGCAAAGGAAACATGGAGCTGGGGTCCGCGCAGCCCCAAAGCCCTCCTCGGTGCCCCACGGCCCGTCCCTGGCGGGCAGCACTCACCCGTATGCTTCGTCATGTGGTACTTGAGCTGATTCACCCACTTGCACTTGTAGCCACAGTCGGGGCAGAGGTATTTCCGCTCCTCCTTGTGGATCCGCATGTGGTACTGGGCACAGGGCAAGAGGGCAGGGTCAGGATGAGGCCATGCCACCTGCCCTGGGAACGTGCAGGGCTTTGGGGTGCCCGCGAGGGGCTCAAAGACAGCTCTGACATCTCAAACCGCGTGGGGTAATGAGGGCTGTCTGCTTGCCTGGCAGACTATGGGCAGGGGGGGATCCACAGCAGGGTCAGGATGAGACCCCCATACTGCTGAGCTTGCTCTGTCCCAGCCTGTGGAGGGGCACAGGCTTTTCTCCCCAGTTTGGTATTCAGGGCAAAGTCCAGGTTAAAACCCAGCCCAACAGAGCTAGCCCTGAGCTAAGCAAGTTGCGCAGCCTCGCCCAGGCAGCCCCAGAGGGCTCCAGCTCAGCCTGGCCATTAAAAACGTCAATATTTCTTTTAGCAAAACCAGACCATTTTCCCCTCCATTACCCCACGCCTGGCCCTCCTGTTCTAGGAAAGGCCCTTTACCATGCATGAGGATGCTAATCACCTACAGAAATGAGGGCAGGGTCTGGCTCTGCTTGCAGGGAAGCTGAGCTTTCCCTGCACCGTGTCTAACTGGTGCCACAGGGCACGCTGCTAGCCGGCAGGCAGCCAAACTTGGCTTCGTGTGGTGCAAGGCTGCCCCATGACGGGGGCACGGCCAGCTGCACCCAGAGGACGCTAGAGATGTCAGTGGGAAGAAGAGTGAACCTGGACAGCTGCCCACCTTGTTGCTTTGCTACAAATCCCTCTTCCCCTTAATCTGCAACAGCAGGGAGCAGGGTTTAGGACAGAAACATATTGTACCCACATGAGTTTTACCTGCTCGCCTCCTATTTCTGTAGGGGCCACAGAGAAGAGGAGAGAACAAAACTTCCCCTTGGAGTTTCTTCTTCTTCCCCAAATCCCCATGTCTGGATCCCCCCCAACCCACGTAGATGCAGTAGGTTATATCCCCCATCCCCAAGCAGGACTCTCACCTTGAGACGCGAGGGGTCGGCGCAGGCGTATTTACAGAGGTGGCACTTGTAGGGCTTCTCGCCGGTGTGGATGCGGATGTGCCACGTGATCTTTTGCCTGTTCTTGGTGGTGTACTCGCAGTCTGAGCACTTGTACACGCGGGTGCCCCCATGGCCCTTCATGTGCTGGTCGAAGACGAGCTGGTGGCGGCAGGCGAAGTCGCAGAAGGGGCACCGCAGGGGTTTGTCCTGGGGGGCAGCTGGCTCGTGGCTCTCCACGTAATGCCGTACCAGCTGCTGCCGCTCCTTGGCTGCAAAGCTGCACAGCTCACAGCGGTGGCTGAAATGCTGCGTCTTGTGCTCCTCCAGTGCCTCCCGGGTGGGGAAGGTCTCCTTGCAGGTGCTGCACTGCAGGTGTGGGTGCTGCTTCTGCACGTGGCACTTGAGTGTGGCCTCGCTGTGGCACACGAAGCCGCAGCGTGATGCCGTACCAGCTGCTGCCGCTCCTTGGCTGCAAAGCTGCACAGCTCACAGCGGTGGCTGAAATGCTGCGTCTTGTGCTCCTCCAGTGCCTCCCGGGTGGGGAAGGTCTCCTTGCAGGTGCTGCACTGCAGGTGTGGGTGCTGCTTCTGCACGTGGCACTTGAGTGTGGCCTCGCTGTGGCACACGAAGCCGCAGCGTGGACAGCCATAGGACACCTTCTCCTCGTGCCGCCGCAGGACATGCTGCTTCAGGGCCGTCTCGGAGCTGAAGCGAGCCTCGCAGCGGGAGCAGCCAAAGTTGAGCTCGCCACGGTGGCAGCTGTTGACGTGGCGGGTGATGTCGTTCTGCAGGTAGCTGCTGTAGTCGCAGAGCGGGCAGAAGTGGGTGGGCGTCTTCTCGTGCACCCGCAGGCGGTGGATGCGCAGCTTGGAGTTGGTGCCGAAGGTCTGGCTGCAGATGCCACAGGCGATGCGCCCCACGCCAGTGTGCAGGGACTGGTGGGCCTCCAGGCGGTAGCGCCGCGTGGTGCTGAACTCGCAGTAGTGGCACTTGTGCGGCTTCACCCCCTCGTGCTTGATGCGGATGTGCTGCCGCAGGCAGCGGGCCTGCTTGCAGGTGAACTCGCACTGGCGGCACTGCAGCTGCGGCCGCTTGCTGTAGTGCTTGCGGTGCAGCTTGCGATGCAGCCGCAGGGCTTTGGCCGCCTTGGAGGTGAAGGGGCAGGAGGCACAGCGAAACTCGCCCAGTGCCACGCAGCCCCTCTTCTTGTGTGTCTTCATGGCCCGTTCCTGGTGGCAGGTGAAGGGGCAGGTGGGGCAGGAGAAACGCCTTCTCTTGGGCAGGGTGGATTTTGGGGGGGCTGTGTCCAGGGGAGGCTCACCGGGCTGGCCCGTATCAACGCTGGCCGGGTCCCCTTTGGGGAGCTCGGTGCTTTGGGGTCCATCCTCCTCAGGACGCACTATGTGCTTCTCAGCACAGTGACTCTTGAGGGCCCGCCGGGAGCGGAAGGCCTCAGGGCACAGGGAGCACCAGAACTGCTCCAGGCTCCGGCACCCGTCCTCCACGTGGGAGTTGATGGTGGAGACACGGGAGCACACGAAGGAGCAGGCATTGCAGTGCAGCTTCCCTCCCTCCAGCCGGTATTTCTCCGAGGGTTTCCCAGGCTGGCGGGAACAAGCAGCTCCACCTGGCTCAGCCCCATCCCCTTGCTGGGGAGGCTCTTCCGCCACCTCTGTGCTGTCACCCGGCAGGGGTTTCTCAGAGGCAGGACAGCCCAAGGCCCGTTCCCCAGCCAAAGGACTGTCTGCTGTCTGCGTTTTATCAGGCAGCAGTTCAGCTTCCCAGGGGCTCTCGGCATGTCCAGATTCCTCCGAGCCTCCCCTCTCGCTCTCTGCTGTTTCCGTACCATTATCACCAGGCTGGTCAGCAGGTTGGCACAAGCCAGGTGGCTCCTGACCAGCTGGTTTGAGGATCTTGTTCCGCTTCAGGAGGACTGGGCACTTCTTGAGGAGATGGGTGTTGAGCCCCCTTTGCTGCTTAAAGCTGGCGCCGCACTCGCGGCACACAAGCGGGGCCCGGCGGCTCTGGCAGCTGGCCTTGGAGTGCAGGGACATGGACTTCTCCTTCCGCGTGATGTACGAGCACTTCTCACACTTAAAGATCTGGCTCTCTGACTGCACCACCAGCATCTGCACCCTGCCCTCCAGCACCAACGTCTCCGCCTGCTCCTTGTCCTGCTTCCGCAGCGCCTTCAGCACTGACTCCGAGCCGCCTCTGGCATCGTCATCGGAGGCAGGTGTGTCCTCTGGGACAGGCAGGTGGCTCTGCTCGGCTGTCTTCAGCACGCTGAGCCAGGCCTCTGGCAGCTCAGCTTGGTTGGTCCCTCTCATCTCGGTGTCTGCCACCAGCTTGTGATGGTCCAAGCACGACCCCTCAAGATGGCCCGTGGCTTGCCTTAGGGAGCCTTTTCCCTGGCTGTCTCCTGCTGCTACCCTGTCCTCCAGCCTCACCGCCTCGTCCTCCTGTACATCTGCTTCCTCTTCCTCAAAGTCTGGGATGTCTTCGAGCGTATTGTCATTGTCCTCCAAGCCCAGGTCATCCTGGGAGCCCAGCATCTCATAGGCTGTGGGAGGCTCCTTGCAGGACAGCATTTCCACGCTCTCCGGCTGCGCCACGCAGGCTTCTCCAGTCAAATGCTCCAGGAGGGGGTCAGACGAGACGTTCAGCGCCTCCAAGTGCAACGTGCAGCTCTCTGCCACGTCCCCAGAAGCGGCGAGCTCAGTCGAGCCTGTGGCAGCATCTCCTTGCATGCAGT